CATCCTGGACAGTTTACAAGTGCCGTGCCACACCCCATATCCTCTATGCACCCCATGATTTGCACTGCAAGTTTTGCATATTGCTGTGAAAGAACATGGCATTATAGTAGGACTGACTATTCCAGATGAGTCCCTTGTGGATTGGAGGCATTACAGTGTCTTCTTGTCTGTCCTGGATGCCACATTTTCCATAGTATAATTTACACCGACAGGGCACAGCTTGGGGGTGTTCACAGGAAATGCAGTGGTGGAGCCACGAGGTCAGTGGAGCTGCGAGGTTGAGGTCGTTGGAGGCGAGTTAGCCTGTCAGTCTGCATGGAGAGTGATGGGCCAATTCTGGGGATAGAACTCGGGGCCTCCCACCTGATGGGCAAGTCCTCTACTCCTGAGGCCCACCAGCAACAAACGATCATCAGATGTTAAATGTACATGCCTTTTGAGCCTATGACTCCATTTTTAAGAATTTATCCTAGGGCTGGGGATGTGGCTCAAGCGGTAGCGCGCTYGCCTGGCATGTGTGCGGCCCGGGTTCGATCCTCAGCACCACATACCAACAAAGATGTTGTGTCCGCCGAGAACTAAAAAATAAATATTAAAAAATTCTCTCTCTCTCTCCTCTCTCACTCTCTCTTTAAAAAAAAAAAAAAAAAAAAAAAAAAAGAATTTATCCTAAATGAGCTAGGCATGAGGCAGGAGGATCATAAATTTGAGGCCAGGCTTAGCAGTTTAGTGAAACCCTGCCTCAAAATTAAAAAAAAATAAAAAGGTCTGGGGATGTTACTCAGTGGTAAAGCATTCCTGAGTTCAATCCTTGGTACCACAAAGGTAAGTGGGTAGGTGGTAGATAGATGGATAGATAGAATTTATCCTAAATGTAACCTTGCATGAATCCTAGATGACATTAGATACAAGGCTATGTGTTGCAGATGCTCAAGTCTATCCACAGGTGTTAAATCAAGGGGGAGCATCATATTAGGACAACATGGTAGCCACAGTGCAGAACCAGAACATGCTTGATGGGCCCCTGGAGAGGAGCAGGGTCCCCCCACCCCCAGTTAATTTCTTTTTTTTTTTTTTTAATATTTATTTTTTAGTTTTCGGCGGACACATCTTTGTATGTGGTGCTGAGGATCGAACCCGGGCGGCACGCATGCCAGGCGAGCGCGCTACCGCTTGAGCCACATCCCCAGCCCCCCCAGTTAATTTCTTTCTAGAACAAATACAAGGAAGAATAGAAAACAACCATATAGTCAGTGGCTTTTCAAAGTGAACACACCCATGCCACCTGCAGCCAAATCTAGAAAGAGAGCAAGCTTTCATAGGGCTGCCTGGAGGCCCCTCCCAGCCACTTCCGCTCCCCAAAGGAACCTAGTTTCTAAAGACAACATTACTTTTTTTTTGGTACTAGGGATTGAACCCAAGGGTGCTTTAATCACTGAGTCGCATCCTCAGCCCTTTTAATTTTTTATTTTGAGGCAGGGTCTTACTAAGTTGCTTAGGGCCTCACCAAGTTGCTGAGGCTGGCACTGAACTCACCATCCTCCTGCCTTAGCCACTACATCCAGCCCATAATTACTTTTGTGAGTTGTTGAACTCCATATACATGGAATCATATAGTAAATTTTCTTTTGTGTCTGGCTTCTCTCACCCACATGGTATTTATGAGATTCAGCCTGACAGTAGGTTGTTTGCTGTCATTGCTGGGTGTTCCCATTATGTGATTGTGCCCTAGTTCCTTTAATCCATATGCTCAGGCATTTGGGTATTTTCTAGTTTATCAGCAGTTCCAAATAATGCACTCTAGGATGTGTCTTGTGGGAGACAGATGCTCTTCTGTAGGGAAGTAGGAGAGGCGTTGGTAGCTTGTAGGGTGGCATATGTTTGACATTAGTAGGCATTGACATTTCATTTTCAAAGTGGTTGTACCAGTCTGCTCTCCCCACAGCAGGGAAGTATTGCAGTATCATACCTCACATAGCTTCTGGAAAATTCCACTGTACTACTCTCAAGAGAATGAGAATGAAAAAGGCAAATAATGTCTTGATGCTATTATGATAAGAATTTTGCCTCTCAGACTCCCTAGGAATGTCTTGAGGGCCCACAGGGGTCTTAAGACCACACTTAGAGAACTACTGATCTGGAAGAAATTTTGTTTCTTCTTTTTCTTTCTTTCTTTCTTTTTTGATACTTGGAATGGAATCCAGGGGCAGTTTATCACTGAGCTAACTGAGCCACATCCCCAACCCATCCTTTTTCCTCCCCTTATTTATTTTTGTTGTTGTAGATGGACAGCATGCCTTTGTTTATTTTTATGTTGTGCTAAGGATGGATCCTATTGCCCAAACGTGCTAGGCAAGCCCTCTGCCACTGACCTATAGCCTTTCCACCCCTTTTGTTTTGTTTTGTTTGGGGGGTACCATGGATTGAATTCAGGGGTGCTCGACCTCTGAGCCACATCCCAGCTCTATTTTGTATTTTATTTAGAGGCAGGGTCTCACTGAGCTGCTTAGGGCCTTGCTAAATTGCTGAGGCTGGCTTTTAACTGGTGATCCTCCTGCCTCAGCCTCCCAAGTCACTCTAATTACAGGCATGTGCCTCTACACCTGCGTAGAAGAATATTTTGACTGAGAACCTAAGGATCATGTGAATAAAAATAAATTTTCTGTTTCCCCACTCCCGMAGTAGAGACTGAGCCCCAGGGGTGCTCTTCTACTGAACCACATCCCCAGTCCTTTTTAAAAAATTTTTTTTAGTTGTAGTTGGATACAATACCCTTACTTCATTAATTTATTTTTATGTGGTGCTGAGGATCGAACTCAGTACCTCGCACGTGCTAGGCAAGTRCTCTACTGCTGAGCCACAATCTCAGCTCTCCAGCCCCCCAGCCCTTTTTTTTCCAATATTTTTTTTTAGTTGTAGATGGACACAATACCTTATTTTATTTGTTTATTTTTATTTTTTTGTGGTGCTGCTGCTGATCGAACCCTGTGCCTCACGCATGCTAGGCAAGTGCTCTGCCACTGAGCTACAACCCCAGCCCTTCCACAGCCCTTTTTATATTTTATTTTGAGACAGGGTCTCACTAAGTTGCTTAGAGCATCACTTAATTGCTGAGGCTGGCTTTGAACTTACAATCCTCTTGCCTCAGCCTCCTGAACTGTTGGAATTACAGGTATGTACCACCATACCTGGCTTGATTTTTAAATTTTGAGACAGGGTCTCACGACGTTGCTGAGACTGGCCTTGAACTTGCAGTCCTCCTGCCTCAGTGTTCAGAGTTTCTGGGATTACAGGTGTGTGCTGCTATATTCAGCTCCTATTCATATTTTTTGTTGCAGAGAAATAACAAGGTAATCACTAAAATATTTTTGAGCACATAGATATATAACTTTGGGTTAAAGTGAGTGACAGGGAAAGAAGTGGGATTAAAAATGCAAGTTGAGGGAGTTCATCTTTAAAAAAAAAATGGGTTAGGGGTGGCGGAATGCTGGGTTTGTGGCTCAGTGGTAGAGTGCTCGCCATGAGGCACTGGGTTCACTCCTCAGCACCACATAGCAATAAAGATACTGTGTTCACCTAAGACTAAAAAATGGGTTCCCTACCTCACACTATATTAAAAATTAACTGAAAACAGAACAGAAACCTAAGTGTAAAAGCTAAGTCCACAAACTCCTGGAAGAACATAAAGGAATAAACTGCATAATCTTGGCTCATGCAACATCTTCTTAGATACACCACCAAAAACATAAGCAACAAATAAAAAATTAGGTAGTTGTTCTTCATAAAAATTAAAAACTTGCCAGGCACAGTGGCACATGCTTGTAATTCCAGTGACTCTAGAGACTGAGGCAAGAGGAAGGAAATTCAAAGTCAAACTGAGCAACTTAGAACTTGTCTCAGAATAAAAAAAGCCGGGGCTGCTGGGAGTATAGCTTGAGGGTAGGGTGCCTTTCTGGGTTCCATCTCCAGTATAGTTAAAAAAAAAAAAAAAAGTTTTTGTCACACACCATCAAGAAACTGAAAAAGCAGGGCCTGTGTTGTGGCTCAGTGGTAAAGCACTTGCCTCACATGTGTGAGGCACTGAGTTCGATCCTCAGCACCACATAAAAATAAATAAAGGTACTGTGTGTTCATCTACAACTGAAAAATATTTTAAAAAAGAAACTGAAAAAACAACATAATAGAGAAAATATTTGTAAATCAGAGCTGACAAAGAACTTATATTCAGCATGTATRTCAAGAAATCTTATAATTTAGCAATAAAAAAGGCAAGTAGCCTAATATAAAAATGGACAAAGGATTTGAATAGACATTTCTTTATATGTAGCCCGACATCACTGAGCACGTGAAGAGGTGCTCAGCACCGTCTTCCTCAGGCAGAGCCCCACTCCGACCTGCTCTCAGACCCATCATCCTCCATCCATTCATCACTGGCTAGTGGACCGGTGGACAGTAATGGGGCCAAGCGCTGAGACTAGTGCCTTGACCACAATTGAGTCCATAAAGATGGGAGTGGAAGGCAGGTGGAGTGGGCTTATGGAGCCACAGGGGCTTACCAGCGATGGGCCCCTTACCTACTTAGACTGAAGTGAAGTCTACCTTGGTGTCTGTTTTTATTTTTTATTTTGAGACAGGTTGCCACTCAGTTGCTGAGGCTGAGGCTGGCCTTCAGCTTGCGATCCTCCTGCCTCAGCCTTCCAAGTAGCTGGGTTCCAAGTGTATGCACTGCACCCAGTTGATGTCTTTTTTAAAAATGTGAATGGCACAGCTAGGCCACCTGGTCTGCACCTCTTCCCACCTCCAAACAAATAATTCTTTTGTCATTAAAGGTTATGTTAGGGTGAATTCAGGTGAGTGTGGGTGGGCTTCCTGGAGGAGGCACCGTGACCGTATGTACCAGCTTTCCCATCCAAGGGGGAGATCAGCTCTGAGGGCCACAAAGGCCTGAGTGTGAGCAGCATCCAGTCAGCACAGCCGTACTACTGTCCCTTCCTCCCCAGGATGACACGGCATGGCAAGAACTGCACGGCGGGGGCCGTCTACACCTACCATGAGAAGAAGAAGGACACAGGTACTGAGCTGGGGGCCTGTCACCTTCTCAGTCTGCGCCCCTGATTTTGCCACTGAGCATCCTGCRAGCGCCCTTCCCCCCACACCAGGCACTTGATGGTCATGACGACCTGAGTGACAGCCTCCCTGGCCCAGTGTCCCTGGAGGCACTCACAGGATTTATGCATTCCTCCCAATCTTCGGTTGTGAGAGGCCGCACCTGTTATGGCCTGTCCAAGGGGGTTGGACGCAGCAGTGCAGGCACTGGGTCACGGCACAGCATGGGACTCAGCGCGAGCTGTCAGCCATGGGGCCTGTCTCGCCTCTGGGAACCAGCACTTTCCCGCAGGCTGTGCAGCCGCAGCCCGATGCTGACATCAGCTCTTGACCACCTTTCAGCCCAGGATGGAGGTGCCGGGCCTGTTTGGCTCACTCCTGCCTGCCCCCAGGCTCTCTGGTGGCGCTCTCTCCTCTGGCACTGGGGAGGCGCATGTCTCTTGTCTCTGCCTCTCCATCACTGTCCAAATCTATCCCCAGCGGCGTCGGGCTATGGGACCCAGAACATTCGACTGAGCCGGGACGCTGTGAAGGACTTTGACTGCTGCTGCCTGTCTCTGCAGCCCTGCCATGATCCTGTGGTGACGTGAGCTGGGGACAAGGGTGGGAGGGTAAGGGAACCAGGCAGAGGGGGCTTCACGCGTGGGTCTAGCTGCCCATACGGCCAGGGCGCCCTGGGCGAGCCCCACAGCCTCTCAGCGCCCCAGTGTCCTCATGTGAGGCGTGGGCTGATCCTGGTCCTGTTTCATGTATTTATGACCTTGACCACTGCCTGGCCACGAGGAGGGCTCTGGTACAGGCAGCAAGGCAGTGGCTTCAGCAAGGCAACAGGTTCTGACAAAGATAAAGAGAGCCGATCGTGGCTCAGGGTTCCAAGGCCACCTTTAGGTTCAGTTATTCCCTAAAGGAACTAACAGAACTCATCAAACCTGTCAGATCCGCAGTGACAGTTCGTTAGGGTGAAAGGCGGCAGACTACCACAAGCAATAGGAATAGGCACCTGGGGTGTCCAGACAGAGCTTGCGCGCATCCTGTGCAAGTCGGGTGGCCAATGCTGATCCTCCTGTGAGCTGTGTGTGATGACACTTGGGGCATCACCAACCAAGGAAGCTCCCCTGGCCTTGGTGTCCAGGGTTTTGATTGCAGTTGGTTGCACAGACATGGCTGATGGCCAGCTGGCAGACCTTGGCCTCCAGCCACTCTGAAGGTCAAGATGACACCCCATGGCCCACGGTCCCCAGATAAATAGAGACACCCTTATCAGGTAGGACATTATAGGAGCTTAGAGAAGCTCCCAGGAGCCTGTCAAAGACCAGTCCTTTCTTTGGAATTCAGAAGGTCTGGGCAGCCCAGGCCTGCCGGGTTCACCCTCGATGGCACAAGACTTTCCCCTCCAAGCTACAGATGCTCCAAAGCCACGAGAATCAGTAGCGTGGACTAGTGTAAGAATTTACCTCAGAAGTGGGGCACAACCATAATCCCAGCGCTTACAGAGGCTGAGGAAGGAGGATCACAAGTTCAAGGCCAGCCTGGGAAAATTAACAAGACCCCTTCTCAAAATAAAAATAAAAAGGACTGGGGACATATCTCAGTGCTCGAAGCCCTAAGGCCAATCCCCAGTACCATTAAAAAAAAAAAAAAGGAGAATTTATCTCAGAGAACTGAACTGAGCCAAATACTGTACTGTAGGACCAACAGGGCAGGGAATTAATGTTGGATGGGTGCTTATTGGGCCTTGGCCATATGACTGGGCCAGGTCCCTGGACTCTCATCCTCCCTCTCTCTGCAGCCCAGATGGCTACCTGTATGAGCGGGAGGCGATCCTGGAGTACATTCTGCACCAGAAGAAGGAGATCGCCAGGCAAATGAAGGTGTTGGGGATGGGGAGAAAGGGAAACAGGTGGGTGGGTGATATTGACTCTGGGCTCATGGCAGAGCCACTCTGGGCCTTCTGGTCTCAGTTCCTTCCCCCAGGGCCACTGCCTGTGCTGTCCTGCTGCTCAGTATGCTATGCCCCTCCCCCTCCTGGTGAAAACTTCCCTCTCTCCGGATTTAAATCCCAGACACAGCTGACTCTAACCTTCCCCTGGTCCCCGGCCTTCTGGGTCTGACCTGGTCACCTCTTCTTTAGTTATAGCTGCAGTTTACATGTGCTTTCTCGTGTGTGCTGATGTCCCCCACTAGACTCAGGCTCCAGGGGTAAAGAGCAAGTTTGTCCCCATTGAGGCTGTGGGTGCTTAGTGAAGACTTGCTAAGTGGGTGGATGTCACCTTTTCACTGTGGGCCTGGGTTTCATCATCTGTAAAACAGGTGGACAGGGCCATCAGAGGAGCCTGCAGAGTGCATGGGGGGTGAAAACAGATGCAAATCCTCAGAGCAGAGAGCCAGGGCCAGCCTTCCATGGACAGAGCCACTTGGTGGTGGGAGGGGTCCTTTTTTCACCATAGTTGAGGCATGGTGGGTCTGTACCCTTCCTCCCCCTCCCTCGTTTTCTGAGAGTCAGGTTGATGCTGTACGTACACAGTACCACTGAGCTACATTTCTGGTCCCCTCGTGGAACTTTCTGTCTCAAATGGCTCCCTCCACACCCATGTCCCCCCACACAGCCCTGTTCCTGACCAGGTTTTTCCTTACGGTGACCATATTGGAAGCCCTGCTGGCACCAGGCACCATCCTTGTAATTGCAGTGATTCTGGAGACTGAGGCAGAGGACCACAAGTTCAAGGCCAGCCTGGACAACTTAGACCTTGTTTCACAGTTAAAAAAAAAAAAAAAGCTGGGGATGTAGCTCGACGGTAGAGCACCCCAGGTTCAGTCCACAGCACCAAAAACAAGAAGGAAAACAGGCTTGAAGCCTGGAGAGGTCACGGCAGGCCACAGGGTGACAAAGATGGGGTTTGAGCCCCAGCATTCAAGCTCTAGCCAGGCCTGACCATTGACCACTCTGCCGTCAGGGGACAAAGACAACACTAAGCCCCAAACTGGCCAAGTGGGAAATGACCTAATTGTCCCACAGTAGGGGAGGGACAAGCAAGTGTGGTGGGCCATGTGCAGTACAGGACAGCCTGGGAAAGATGCACTGGGGCAGTGGCTAACCTCTGCCAGAGTGGCCACTATGTGGGTCTCAGTTTACCCACTATGAAGGGGACCCCTACTCCCCTGGGTGGCCTGTGAATACTTGATGCTTGCTTCACTCCCTTCTGGTCTCTAGGCCTACGAGAAGCAGAGAGGCGCAAAGCGAGAGGAGCAGAAAAAGCTGCAGCGAGCAGCAGCCCAGGACCAAGTCCGCGGCTTCCTGGAGAAGGAGGCAGCCATCGTGAGCCGGCCCCTCAACCCTTTCACTTCTAAGGTCATCGCAGGGACTGGCCCAGGTGACAGGAAGTGGGCTTGCAAATGGGTAGGGGCCCCGCAGGCCTAGTGCTTCCCGCGGTACCCATCCGAGCCTCTCCCTCCCCCACAGATGATACCCAACCTGGGCCCAGCGTGGGTCCCCCCAGCAAAGACAAGGACAAAGCGCTACCCAGCTTCTGGATCCCGTCGCTGACTCCCGAGGCCAAGGCCACCAAACTGGAGAAGCCAGTGAGCTCCCTCAGTGTTGCGGAGGGCCCCACCTATCCTCGCAGGCTCCTTGTCATCTCGCCACCAGCCCCCTGCTAACGCTGCCTGCCTCCATCCCTGCAGTCGCGAATCGTGACCTGCCCCATGTCAGGGAAGCCTCTGCGCATGTCGGACCTGACGCCTGTGCGTTTCACACCACTCGATGACTCGGTGGACCGCGTGGGGCTCATCACGCGCAGCGAGCGCTACGTGTGCGCAGTGACCCGTGACAGCTTGAGCAATGCCACACCGTGCGCCGTGCTGAGGCCCTCGTGAGTCTCCTGACTGGGAGGAAGTAGAGTGGGCTTAAGGGGCGTGGCTCTTGGGTTGACCTAGGCACCTTCCTTGCAGTGGGGCAGTGGTCACCCTTGAGTGTGTGGAGAAGCTGATTCGGAAGGACATGGTGGACCCCGTGAATGGTGACAAGCTTACCGAGCGCGACATCATTGTGCTCCAGCGGGTGAGCTGACTGCCCCCTCTTCCACTCCCCTTCCCCTTCTTCCCAGGCCCTGCCTCTTGCCTTTCCACACACCCCTCCCTCCCTTAGAACTCTGCCCAGTCTCCCTYGGTCCCAACTCCACCCACCTGTGTTCTTCAGCCAGGCTCCTGGGTGCTTGGCTCTCCCACGCCCAATCTCCCTGCTGGCTGTACTTCACCTTGATCGATTTTGGAACCCCAGTGCCACCTGGAGCCTGTGGTTAACCTGGGCCACCTCCATCTGACCCTTCTCCCCACCTTTTTCAGGGTGGCACAGGATTCGCGGGCTCCGGAGTGAAGCTGCAGGCCGAGAAGTCCCGGCCTGTGATGCAGGCCTAGCCCGGTGGGAAACCTAATAAAGCGCTGGGTGCACTTGGACACGTGGTCTTCATTTGCATCAGAGGGGGGTACCTGAGGAAGCAGGCCACCTGCGACCTGGAAAATGCAGGCTGAGAATGTGGAATGTTTTGTCACAATGACTTACTAAGCACTGATACCTCCTGTGGTTATAATCCCAGCTACTCAGGAGGCTGAGGCAAGAGGATCATAAGTTCAAGGCCAGCTTTGGCAACTAGTGCCCTGTCTTAATAAAAAGGGCTGGGGATGTAGCTCAGTTCTAACTGAGTTCAATCTCCAGTACCACAAACAGCAAATTCTGAATTGGATGCAAAAGCATAGCATTAAAATCAGTGGAGATGGCCAGAAGTCAGAGTCTGAACTGGGACCATGTGAGAGCACCACTTTAGTAAGTCCAATAGAAATCCCTTGGGTCCTTTGTCAATACACCACCCCTGTCCCAGCTTCTGACAGGTTTAAAGCACATGCGATGTGCAGGAAGAGCCTTCTCGAGTGAAGTGTGTTGACGTTCAAAGGAGCCAAGGCCCTGTAAGAGGGCCCACATCCTTCAGTCTAGAAAATGTGGCCTGACCACACCCTCCCTCACACTTGACTGCTGAAGGATTGGAAGGAAGAGGAAACTGCAAGTGCAAAGGCCCAGAGGCAGTGAAGTACTGTGCAGGTTGAAGCCTGGGGAGGAAAAGGGAGAGGGTGGAGGTGAGCAGAGTCATGGACCTGGCCTGGTGGAGTTCAGGCTTGGCCCAGGAGGGCTGTGACCCTTAAAGCTTTGTTTTTGGAAACATTAACAAAAGTGATCCCTGAGTAGTATGGAAAACTGGAACATGCAGTCAAGTGAAATTTTTATAAAGTTAAAGAACATTCCTGCCTCAGAGCAGTACCTGGGTCTTGTGCTTCCAGTCTCCCAGATTGTCAACCTGGCAAGAGGGCAAAGCACAGTCTGTTTGGTGAACAGCCTACTTTCCACTTCAGCAAATGGTCTTTATCACTCCGGTGTCCTTACATGATTCACAGGACCAGGATGCCATCTGAAACCGAGGGAGTGTCCTTGACTGCTGTTTGGTCAAGGCTTGGCCCATGAGGGACAGGGGCAGTGCATCTGACTGCAGGGAAAGGTTTTAGCAGGAGGGCAGTGGTGTTATCCTTGCGCCCTGGGCCGCCACCCAGGCCTGCTGTTGGCACCCAGCGACACTTCAGAACCTCTAGGTCCCTGAGGGCCCTCACTCCCGACTCCTGGGGCCCCAGCCCCTGGAAACTGGCTCAATTCCTGCCATGGAACTGGGCCTCTCAGTCGAGTCCCATTGAAACCCTGATTTACGTAGTCCAGGGAGAGGAGTGCATCTGCTCATCTCAGAACAGGCCACAGAAGCTGAGAAGGCATGTGCCCAGAGGCACACTGCTCAAGGGAGTGACAAGCCAAGTGCCCCAGAGGCCAGCTGCTTCCAGAGACCACCCCAGACCTAGCTCAATTCGCAACTTTCCCCCATCCTTTGTGCCCCCAGCCCCTCAGAAATCCCCCTCAGTTCCTGCTCCAGGACCCCAGCAAGCTCCAGCCCCATCCCTTTAAACCCAGAGTGTGTCCCATCATCCCCTTTCCCTGATCATCACCAACCCTTGTCTGCCCCTCAACTACCCGAGCCCTGTCAGTTTTCCCACAGCCCCTCCAGAACCCCAATGCTAGCCAGGCCCAGTGGTGCGCGCTGTGATCCCAGCAGCTCCGGAGGGTGAGGCAGGAGGATCATGAGTTCAAAGCCAGCCTCAGCAACGTAGCAAGGCCCTGAGCAACTCAGCCAGACCCTGTGTCTAAATAAAATATAAAAAGGGCTGGGGAATGTGGCTCAGTGGTTAAGCTCCCCAGGGTTTAATTCCCTGTTAAAAATAAAGGCCCCCGATCCTGTTAAAGTGTGGTGCAGGCAACCACTACCACCCTGCTCTACATAAAGACTTCCAGTTTTCATCAAGTGTCCTTTTACCCCACAGCCTCTGACTTTAGGGAAGGACGGGTGGGTCAAGGTCCTCGCTTCAAAGAAGGGGCTTCTAAATCTCTGGTGCAATGTTTCAAAGGTAACCAGGAAAGGAAGCAGGAGAAGGACCACAGATTCAGCAGGCTCAGAGGATTTGAAATGAGACAAATCCTTTTCTGGGCAGATTTCAGTCTCAAATTCAGAGCAAGAACCAAACGCACTGGTGGTGTGCAGGGTGCCACTGGTGGCTCCTGCTGCATCAAGACACTTAGAATTACTTGTAAAGAGATTTTGGTTTTATTTTATTTTTAGTTGTAGATGGACACAATACCTTTATTTTACTTTTTTAGTTTTATGTGGTGCTGAGGATGGAACCCAGTGCTTCACATGTGCTAGGCGAGCGCTTCACCACTGAGCCACAATCACAGTTCTGGAAAGATATTTTAAATGGGCCTGGTGCAGCAGCACACAGCTGAAATCCCAGCAACACCCTGTCTCAAGAAATTTGAAAAGAAAAGGGCTGGGGTGTAGCTTGGTGGTAGGGCATCTCTGGGTTCAATCCCCAGTACCAAAAAAAAAAAAAAAAAAGATTTTAAAAAATGGGAGAAATTATTCTGAAAATTGTCCTGAGTTAGTGATGATGGCCACACAACCTTAATAAAAACAACTGAATTACACACTTCAAATAGTTTGTTTTACGGTGTGTGAATATTATCTCATCTTTAAAAACTGAATCAGATCTCCAGTTGGCTCCTCCCCTCCCAGCATCACTGAACTGGCTGGGGACTGGGGACTGGAGCTGCTGATCTGGAGATGTAGAGGTCACCAACAGTAGAACTAAAAGCAAAAGAGACTGTTCAAACTTTCCTCCTGATAAGTGTTAGTGAGAATGTGGAGGAACTGGAAGCTTCTACCACGCTGGTGGGTGTGCAAACCAGGGAAACAATTGGCAATATCTATTGAAGCTAAAGATACGCCCACTCTCTGGTCCAGCAACCTGCCTCCTACACACATACCTAAAATCTACACAGACAGGAACCTGAATGTTCATACAGCTTCATTTGTAATATCCCCAAGTTAGAAATAACCCCAAGGTTTATCAATAGTAGAATGGGTTTCACAGCTTTATATAACAATGAAAAGAAGAAACCACAGGCAAAATTATGTTGTTAAAAAAAAAATTAGGATAAGCCAGGCACTGTGGTGCACACCTGTAATCCCAGCAACTCAGGAGGCTGAGATAGAAGGATCAAAAATTTGAGRCTAGTCTCTACACCTTTGGGAGACCCTGTCTCAAAATTAAAAAGGCTGGGGATATATTATCTCCATATTACAGCACTTGCCTGGCATGCTCCAGACCCTAGATTCAATCCTCAGAACTGCAAAACCATTGTCTGCCTGTAAGGAGCACTACTAAATAAATAAACATGCAAAAGTTTTTTGTTTGTTTGTTTGGGTTTTTGTACTGGGAACCCAGGGGCACTCTACCACAAAGCTACATCCCCAATCTTCTTTAGTTTTTATTTTTAGACAGGGTCTTGGTAAATTGCTGAGGCTGGCCTTGAATTTACCATCCTCCTGCCTCATCCTCCCAAATCTCAACAGTTATTACCATGACACCCAGCAAGTTTTTTTTTTTTTTTTTTTTAAGCAAAAGCACTTCTACAGGGAGACATTAAGGCGACAAGATACTGAGCAGAATTCCATCACAAGTGGTTCTGTACGAGTAATATTGTTGTTGTGTGAGAGTATTACTGTGATTAAAAAAAAAAAAAAGTTTTCATACTTGTAGTGCCATGTCCCTGAAGCCCCAGACATCTACAAATATGCCCTTAATGCACATAAACCAGTTCTCTACTTCCAGCCACTAGGGGGCAGAATGTCATCGTAAATAAAAGCCAGGAGTCAGACCATATTTGGATTCAAATTCCAAAACTCGCCCAAATCACTATGAAAAACTGGATAAAACATAAAACATTTCCTAAAAGTAATGGAAAATGGATAAAAGCAGTCAGGAGCTTAAGGGGACTTGACACTCAGGAAAAGGAAAGGCTCAGAGGGAGTTTCTCATTTGTACAGCCGTTAATTTATTTATTTTTAGTACTGACTGGGGATTGACCTCTGGGCACTTAGCACTGAGCCACATCCCCAGCCCTTTTTATTTTTTATTTAGAGACAGGGCCTTGCTAAGCTGCTGAGGGCCTCTCTAAATTGCTGAGGCTGGCCTTGAACTTGGCTCTTTCTGCCTCAGCCTCCTGAGTCAATGGTATTACAGGCTGCAGCCACTGCGCCCCAGTTTGTGCAGTGTATATTTATCCTGGGGCGGGTTCTAGCCTGTGTCTTGAAACACCTGGCTGAAACACCAGGGGGAAATCCACAGTCCTAGTTGGAAGAAGTAAGCGACAAGAAGGTAAGCATGTAAATCTGGAAGGGTACTAGAAAGGGGGGTACCTCAAATATTCTGTTTTTTTCAGTGTCTGCCTTTCACATACTAGGCCAGCCTCTACTACTGAGTTTCATTCCTGGGCCCTTTTTTACTTCCATTTATTTTTTGGTTTGTTTTTGTTTTGGTATTGGGGATTGAACCCAGGGGTGCTTTAACCAGAGCCACATCCTCAGACATTTTTATTTTTTATTTTGAGACAGGGTCTTCCTGAGTTGCTAAAGCTGGCCTCACACTTGGCATCCTCCTGCCTCAGCCTTCTGAGTCGCTGGGATTACAAGCATTCACCCCGGCAACCGGCTTCATGTTCCTAAGATGTCAGTTTTCTCTGTTTTGGTCTGTATTATTGTATAACTCTGGTTTTTTTTTTCCATCATTTTCCCAAGGGACAAATTTAGGGGATAGGTCTAGGGGTCTTGAATCCCTTAAAAGGGATGTTTTCTTAATTCTTTAGCATTTTTTTTTTAATTACTAAGCCAAAATGTTTAGACCTGTTTCAGGTTAATAAAAAACAAATCAGTGGTGGGACTCGGGTGTAGCTCAGTGGTGGAGCCCTTGCCTGATATGCATGAGACCCTGGGTTTGGTTCCCAGCACTGGGAAAAAAAATAAATACTG